GAAAAGGGGAAAAAGTGTGGGGGGAAGCACTATTAGCATGCCTGATCAGCAGTTCACCCACCCGGGGATGCTATCCAGGTACAGCAATGGAGTGGGGAGAGGAGAGAGACAACTTACTCGTCCAGCTTGATCCAGTGCAAGAATATAAATCCTCAGACCTCCATTTTCTTTAAGATGTTGAGGATTCACTCTGTAATCCAAATGCCCTCCACTTACAAGAACCTTTTTTAGGTTTAGTTGCCTAAACAAGAACACAAAAGTATTTATGTAGACATAAACAAATAACAATAACAATATAAAAATAAATCTCATTTTGTCGTTTAAAAAGTGAATTTAAATGAAAGAACCACAGTGTTGATATACAGGCATGACTAGAACCCAATGAGTAAGCACAGAGAACAGCGTAACAGTAACCTTTCTCACTGCTGTAGGAATATCACAACTGTACAATGGTAGGGTAATATGACATTTTGTCCTGTTCTGTTGCTAACAATTTGCTTCACAAATCATGCAGTATCTACCACATAACTCTCATTTAAAAAAAAAAAAGTTGTGTGTCAATAAAAACAACACAAACTAAATCCTTAACCCTGGAGGCAACAAGTGGGTTCAAACACTTAAAATCTGGATAAGGCCCTTTTCGGGTGAAATGTCAACACAAACACAATAAATCATCTTAAAACTTTCAGCTTTCTTTATACTCAATAAATAATAATGATCTATTATATGAGCTGTATGAATTAAATTGTAAGGATTACTGACAAGAGTGTATGCAAAGTTCCTCGGGCACCTGAAAACAGAAAGTTAAGCATTATTTTTAGGAAAGCATTGTAGTTCCAGATTGAAGTAAACTGGAAAGAATTTGATGATAATGATTCAAATTATAGCCACAATCTAGGTAATCAAAATTTGAGAAATCTAGAAAGCCACATAGTATCAATTTATAATTTTAAAAAAGATTATCATAGATTCATATTGAAACATTTGTAGAATTTCCAATTTCATTTTTACATAACTTAAGCTAAACAAAATACAATTAACATTGTATTTTAATAGATTCTAGCACTATCGGCATTTAGAGCAGGGTATATAACATTTTCCAGATAGGGGGCCACACTTGACTTTTCAGTGGCACGTTGGGAGCTGTGCTCCAAAAAAACAAGGCCTGGAAAAAGCTAACCTTTTTTTTTTTACATTTAAATTTAACTAAAATTAAATATAGTTGACATGCAGTGGACAATGTGAGATTACATTTCATACAAAAAAATTGGTACAACACATTCTTCAGGCAGAATCAATTCAATCAGCCAGCCTGACCCAGGAGAAGCCTCTACTAGTACCAACTATTATCAGGTGAGGTGGGCTAAAGCTTAGAGGGACGAAGACCCATCCAGATTTCATTTCAGAAGATGCTCAAGACTAAGCTTCTCCATATAGTGTTTGCATATTGACTGATGACATCTTGATTTGAATGTATGATTATGACCTTTGAATTATTTGATTTTTACATTTATTTTAATGCTGTTTACCATGGATGTTTTAATCTCAATTTACTATGGATATTTTATATGTATACAGTGTTGTCAACCAGCAGGAGTCTTATGGGATTTAGTGGTATACTAGCTGACTGATTGATTGGTGGACTAATGAAATGAATAAACGAATATAGGCATATACATTCCATTTGATTCTCTGCACAACAGACTTCCTCTGCAAATTATGAGTACTGGCTGCAACTAACTTTCAGATAAATTCAGTAAGCCCAATATCATTTTGTCACAGTTACTGTCACAGGTTTCAAAGAAGGAAGGTAAGAAAAGCTGAATAAGTGGGAAGGAGAATTTCATGTGTAGTATGAGTAAACAAAGGGCGAGTAATTGGAGAGTGTGGCGGTGGTCTCTAAGAAAATACATCAGGGTGCTTGCCTGCATTAGGCAACTCCACCCACTCTCATGGCTACCCAAAGTCAATTCAACCTTTGGCCAAAATTGTTTCCCCACCCTTGCAATAGAATTTTGAAACTAAAAGCAGCATAATGTTTTATTGTCAGTGATTTATATTTTCACTCTAGGGGCACCATCATTCACTTTTAATGTGCCAGCCTTCATTATTATTGCAATATTAATTTGTAGCACTTTAAAAACTAAAAAAAAAAGGATGTTATAATGAGATATCATAAATGGTCCACATTTAAGGTGCTACCGCACTACTTTAACAGATTAACATAGGTACTGTTCAGAAAATATTAAAATATTGTTTGTTTCACTGGCGTTCTCTCCCTGGAAAAAAATGTTCAAAAGTTGGATTATCTAAAGGATTTCTATTTTTACAAACTAGTTTTGCTTTACCTTTTCTTGTGTTCCTGCAGTACTATAAGAAACAACAGGTTGCATCCAGGCCAGTTCTACATGCAGAAGCCTATTTCACACAACTAACACAACAGTCTAGGCAAAGACTTGTACATCTATACAGTGGAGCAAGCTGTATTAGTCCTTCCACATGCAACCTTCTGCATCACAGCTCAATTGGCCTAGGATTAGATGTCAGCAATATAGGTATGCTCAAAATAGAAAATTTTGCAAAAAACATAACCTTTCAATTTGTTGACATAGTTAAAAAAAACCTCAGGAAGAGAAGCTTATAGATTTCTCTGAAAAAAAATACCACTCACTTGGAAGCAATCTTCTTGCACTGATAGTCACTAAGCAAATAGATGTCTCCTTTTTCAGTAACACAAACTGTGGCACCATCACTTGCAGTGACAAAGGACACATTGATGTCCTTGTGATGTAGAGCAGAGACTTGGCGAGGAGAAGTTACACACTTCTCTCCATTAGGATCTAGCAAGTATCCTACAATGTAAGAGAATATCCTAAATGTCAAGTTTTTCAGATCCATAATTATTTGGCATTTAAGCACAATTCTTTTCTTATTAAGAAAGGCTGAAATAAGTGTTTCCATTCACCCACTTGCACAATAAAAATGCCTGGAGGATCAAAAAGTAATTTTAAACATATGCCAATATTATGAAGCAGCCTTATACCGAGTTAGTCCACTATCCCACCACATTCAGCACTTTTTTTTTCTGATCAGTAACAATGTTCCAGGGTCTTCCTGCCAAAGCACAGATCATTTGTAATGAAGACCATATTAAAATAGAACACTGGAAAAGTTTACAGAATTCTGGATTACAGCATGGAAAGATGGTCACAAAATCTGTTTTGTTAAATTAATAATTGCACAATACCCTGCTTAGCATATCACTAAAAGCCAACCTTATAGGGAGGATCAAACTGTATTAAAACATTTTACAAACAAAACTTTACTGCTAATATGGTCAATATATATACCTTTACCTGGAGCACATTTATTTGAAAGGAGTCTTAAAGCTATATGGATATAGATTCATAATGCAACCTTTACCAGTCTGAATCTATTGCCAAATCTACAGATTAAACTCACATGCTATTTCAAGGAAGCTTTACGTTTTTCTAAAATTTGTACCTATGTTCCATTGATTAGGTAGCTCCTAAATTGAAAATGCTCAAGTTCAATTTTATTTAATTACAAAATTCTGTGTGCAACATTAAGAGTATCTACATTCTGGGTATTAAGCTGGGAGGAATTATTTCACTCTGTCAGAATAATCCTTCCTTTCGTGTGGGTGGGCAGGCATCCGCATTCTGTAGGCAAAATATATAAGGAGGGCTACACAGTAACGAAAATCAAATAACTAAGATCAAAACTGCAATATGAAAAAATAAGCAACTTCCCAAGGGCACAGTTAGCTTTAGCCATTAACAGCATCGCTTCAAATACATTTCAACTTAGGCATCTTATTGGTCATACAGCAAGAAGATTCTAAAAAGAATAGCAAGATTTAAGAGATTTTTCCCCCAAACATGTCAATATTTTCTCACCTAATTGTCCACCATTCAGTCCCACTGTATAGACTGCTTCTTTGGTCCATAGTACTGAATGGAACCTGCCAGCAGCCACACCAATCACTGTCCTTCCTTTAAGATTTTTTGCTTGAACCTGAATAAAAAAGCCCACAGACATACATACAGGTGTCATGTAACAAATTAGCTTAGCCGTGTATCTAAAGAACATGAAGACAACAGAATTCAGCAAGAGCATTTTAATTCATAAATTAAAAAAAAAAAAACACATATTATTAGACCAACCACTGACAAAAGAGATGCTGAACACTGTGATAGTGACACCACGGCTCTGGAATTCCCTTCTCAGGGAAAGTTGCCAAGCAATCTCTTTTTAGCTTTAGATGTCAGAGAGAAACATTTTTCATCCAACAGGCTTGGACAACTTTCAGTGACCTTGAAAAACTCTAATTGTTAAAGACAGCTTTTACAAGTGCTTGCAACATTCCCTCAGATTGCTATGTGCTTTAATATTTTATTGTTGTCATCTGCTTGGCTCATGTTTAGATTAAAAGCACCAAGAATGATGTTAATCGCAATAAAAAGCTTGCTTAATAGGGTTTTGCAGAGCACTCAAAACAGAAGCTCAGCACAGCAGCCTTCAAACCAGCTTTCCCCCATTGTCTCTGTGTGGTGTACACACACAGTCATTTCATTTCCCTGTCAGACCCAGCAGAAGTGCTGCCTGTGCATGCACACACACGCAAGAGCAACCAGGGAAAACTTTGAAGCAACCACACCAAGCCTTCTGGAGGACATGTAGCTTTAATTTTTTTGATTTATTATTAGATTTTTATCCTCCCTTTATTTTTTATCAATTCAAGGCAGGATAAAAATAACTCCCTCTTCCTATATTCCCCACAGTAACAAACCCATGAGGCAGGTTGGCTGAGAGTGACCAACCCAAAGTTACCCAGCTGCTTTCAGGCCTAAGGGAGAGCTAGAATTCAGATTTTTGCTTTCTAACCCAGCACCTTAACCACTACACCAAGTGCCTTGAGGACAGGTAGTTTGCTTAAACCAAAACATGCTGTCTTATAAGCAACATTTGATAGCTGAAATTATACAGCTCATTCATAAATCTGGGATGATAAATATATTGAGAGAAAACCAAGTTCTAATCATTAACTGATTTATTCATAACTTTCCTTCAACTGTAGCACAAATCATAATGATTCTAACTGTCCTGTCCATTCCACATGGGAAGGGATCATATAAGCTCCATCCTGCCCAAAAGTGAAGAAGGTTGGAGCACAGAGGAAATTCTTCTCTGTTGTTACCCCCATCTTCTGCAATAAATCTCCTCCTCCAAGATCCATATGGTCCCCATACAGGTAGTCCTGACCACTCGTTCAATAATCAAAGTTATGACAGCACTGAACAGAGACTTGTGACTGGTCCTCGAACCTGTGGCCATCGCAGCATCCCACAGTCACATGATCGCAATTTGGTGCTTGGCAACCAGCACGCATTTACAATGGTCACAATGTCCCATGGTCACGTGATCACCATCTGTGACCTTCACAGCCAGCTTCCGACAACAACGTCAATGGGAAAGCCAGCAGGAAGTCGCAAGGTGCAGTCACATGATGTCACACTTAACAATCACAGTAGGAACTGATGAACTGCCATTGTAAGTCTGGTGCAGTCACATGATTTTTCACTTTATGACCATATCACTTAGCAACAGAGTTGCCAGTCCCAACTGTGGGCAATAAGTGAGGACTACCTCTATTTGCTATTTTTAGGAAAGCAATTAAAAACTGGCCTTTCAGATAAGATTTCAGAGATTACCATCTAGCTGCTGCATTTCATTCTAATTAGATGTATGTTAAATTTTAATTCTGGATTTTATATATTTATATTGTGCTAGAACATGGTATTATCCTTCTACGAATCGGCTTTGTGAACTGCCTAGAGTTTTTATAATAGAGCAGAATATAAATACTGTAGAATAAATAATAAATATCACACAGTACTACTGGCACTACATTTGATATATGAAAGTGCATATATATGGCAGTATGTTCATGCCCCCAGGTATGCACACATTATGCATTCACATACAAATGTATAGGCACATCTAAAACATCTTCTTGGTAAGGAGGTTATTTTACCTGTCTGGGAACACTGCAGTTAGGAGGAGGAGGAAGTATACCAAGTTGATGAAAAGTATTGATGCCAAAGGCATATAAGCATCCATCTTCTGTTAGTACAAGTGTATGATCTTTAGCTGCTGCTACTTGTGAACACTGATGAACAACCAAGCTTTCTACCAGTCTAGGAATCTAAGACAGATGAAGAAAATGTCACCTTCAATGTCTCAAACCACACCTCTCTCAATTAGGAGGTTCATCATCTAGAACGCAAGCAAAATCATATTCAAAGTAGTATTTTATGTAACATACATACTGTGTCTCCAACAGTCTTAATATCATCCTTAGTAGTTATAAATATGTCAAAGAATTGTAGGACACTTTGTAATAATACTATTATTACCATACAAGCTTTTGTGGGGAAAAGTAAATTTCTGAATGTACTACAAAGCTCTGTTGTTTTTCCCGTAATAGTATAACCCATTTACACTGAAAACTGACTAAATAAATATTCTTATAGGGTTTTCATTATATTCTAATAACTTTGTTAATTTTAAAGTATAAGATTCTGTTTTGCTGCAAAATACTTCTCCATGGCTACCTCTCAAAACATTATCCAAGATAATTCCTTAATTCATGTTCACTACCAAATGGTTTGAGAACTCATCAATAGTGAAAACAGATAATTATTTATGGAATCAATTACCAAATCAACCTTTAATCACAGATCAAAAAAGTTTAATATGAACTACCCATTATAGGATTACGGCATCCCCTAATTTCTTCAAGAAGTATATGTGTAGGTGTATATATGTGTATATATACGCATGTGTATATATATTTGCTTGTACTGTAAACTGTATGTCTATGTACAGTTCAGTGTATGTATAAGAAAGTTATTTTAATAGTATAAGGCAACCTTGTATCTTCCAGCTACACTGGACTATCTCCATCATCTTCGAATAAAAGTCACCATCTGATGGTTCTCAAGCTGTGGATAATAGGGGAGCAACATCTGTGTACATGACATTCTGGATATGCAATTAGAATTATAATATTCATGTTTAAAGTAGACTACATTAAACAGAAACACATTTTTGATATCTGCAAAATAGCCACTTTTTAAAAAGAAATCAGAAGCCCTACTGTATATATAGCTTAGTTGATCTGAAACTATCTTTGAAAACCAATTATTTTTTAATAATCTAAGTTATTAGTTTTAGAATACCAAGCAAGTCTGTTCGTCACCATGCCCCAAGCGTCCTCCTTGACCATGTCCACAGGTGTAAACCTGGCCTTTCTGGGAAAGGAACACAGAGTGAAATTTGCAGAGTACTACCTAAGGGGGGAGAGAGAAAAAAAAATGAGGACTTGAATTTCATCTAGCTAATTTTTGCAAAGTAATTTGATATTTAAATAATTTACTTTGTAATAATGCAGAAAGAAATCATGTGTCAGTTTGATTTTAAATGAATACATACAAAACAAATTTACATTGTACATTTATAATACTGGGTATCTACACACAGGACCACTTATTATCTTTACTGTATTACAGGAAAAAGTAACATGAAAAATAGATACTTCAAAAACAAATGTCTTTATTTCTAATATTTTTCAAATGAGTTTAACAAATAACACATGAATTACCAAGACAGAGTATAACTTTATGCATCAATCTGAAAACCTGTAGCAACAGATCATTTCATACATATCCACTTAAGGAAGTGAAAAGGGTGTTCTGTAACATGAGCTCTACCATCTCTGGCTATATTCCATGCCAAACCAGGCTCCTACAGATAGCCTCGGAGTTGTGGATTCAAGAGGTGATAAGTGCCTCTTTGAGGGAAAATGAGATGCCAACCTCCTTCGTGGAACTGTGCCCTCTCTTGAAGAAGCCATCTCTCAGTTTAACCATACTGAACAACTACTGCCCAGTCTCCATCCTTCTCTTTTAAGAGAAGGCTGTTGAGAGGGTGGGGAGGATCCTAGAGGAAACAGATTATCTGAATGCTTTTCAGTCAGGATTCAGGTCCAAACATGGAATGGAAATAGTACTGGTCACTCTGATGAATGACCTTTACTGAAACCTAGATGGAGGAAGTGTGCCTCTCCTAGTCTTATTGACACTACTGACCACTGCATCCTTCTGGACAGCCTGCAAGGAATGGAGATTGGAGTAACTTTGTTATGGTGGACTGGGTCTACCCAAGTGGGCACTTCCTGTTAGTAGTTATGGGGGAGGAGCAATCACGCCTACAATTACTCCAATGTGAGATGCCACAAAACTTTATCTTCTCCCCTGTGTTATTTAATACCTGCTAGAAAAGGTGATCTGTTGATTCAAGGTGAAATACCACTGGTATGCTAATTCTCAGCCACAGTTATACAGAGAAGTTAGAGAAGCAAACTTTATGTTTCAATGAATCCCTAGGTGAATAGAAACTGACACAACCTTTACATGATACAACATTAAACTTGATGTCTTTCTGCAAATCTGACTGCATGCTTAATGTTTACAGATTCAAAATAAGAAAAGAGTGAATATGTGCAGGTGCAGAAATTTACAGCTTGCTTGCTTGCTTTCATTCATTCATTCATTGTACAACAAAGTCCTTAATAAGGCTGCAAAAAGTGATCGACTCATTAGACCTACTGTATAATTAGCCAGGTGAAGACATTTCCACTGTTGAAAAAGTACTCTGACCTTTTTAACCTCTCAGGCTGTGATGACTGTTTTATCTAATTTTAACAACCATAGGCTCCTCTAAGCAGTTGTCTCAGCATTTGTAAATAAAGATAATTCACTCTTACAAAGCAGAACAAGACTGTAACATCTCTAAATGTTTCCAGCTAGCAATTTCATCTATAAGCAATATTGTTACATGGAATTGTCAAAGTCATGGCAAGATCTGGAGACCAAGAAATATCTCTACTAGAATTACTTGAAAACTGATCAGATCTGCAAAACAGACCCCACAGATGAATGCAAATCATCTGCTGAAAAGTTTACCTGACACTAGAATAGCTAGTGTACCACAAGTACAGCATTGCTTATATAGTAATGATCTGCAGAAGAGAATTATAAGAAAACCTTTTCTCTCATGTTTTCACAAAGTCACTGTTTCAAACAGACAAAAGAAAACCTTGATAAATATTCTAAATATATCAGTCCAAATTGCTCTGGACTAATGAAACAAATTTTATCATGTGTTTTCTAGCCGCCACCACACAAGATACATTTGGGAGAGGGTGGAGAGAGAGAAAGATGAAGTTTTAGAAGAATATGCTTGTGGTGCAGCCAATGGCACAGAAGATATTGTGTGTATGGGAGATACAAAAGTCACAGAAGGTCTCATAACCAGGATGACTCAATGAGTTCTACTACAACCAAGCAATTAAGGAGCAAAATAATAAGCAAATATTGATATATTGCACGAGTGATCTAAAAAATGTATTTCACACATGCACAAAAAAACTGTTCACCATTTCACATACAACAAACAATGAGCCAAACCTGCAGATATGCTACAAAAGCCTTTACAAACATACTGGGTCTGGGGTCTCTACCAGTCAAAGATATCAGAACTACAGATAATGAGACCACAGATAACAAGGGCACAGGTACTTATTTTTAGAAGGGAGACTGTATCTGATCATAATGCTAGCATATTCAATGTGCATATAATTTTGCACATTGTTTTAATTCAAAAGAGAAAATTTCCAAAAAGAATGAGGGGACCAGTAAAAAGAAAGTTGAAAAGCAAAGTCAAGGGGATCAAGTCTTTCCAGGATGCTTGAAGCTTACTGAAATCTACATCAATAACTACTTGGTTAGAATATACACCTAAGATCAAGAAAAATGCCATGAATTCCAAAAGGACAAAAAAGTGATTTATGGGCAAAATGATAAATGGAGTTCAATGTAAGCAAGTTCAAAGTGATGCCCACCGGCACAACATATCCAAACTTCTCACACACAGTAATGGGATATGAGTGGGCAGTAATTGAAGAAAGGGAATCTGGACTAAACAGACAACTCAATGGAAATGCCAGCACAATAGGTGGCTGCTATAAAAATTCCATACTCGGAATAATTAGGAACTGATTGAAAATAAAACAGCTAAAACTCTAATACCATCAGGTAAATAACACAGAGAATACACTTGGAATGCTATATACAGTACTGCATTAGTGACCACCCCTAAAAAAGTGTCAGTATAGTATTAAACAAGGACCTGGGTGACAAGTTCAAGTTCGCCCTCAGTTATAGAAATTCACCAAGTGACTTTGGGCCAATCACCTCTCAGGCCAACCTATTTCAGAGGGTTGCTGTTGAGGGAAAAAATGAAGAAGGGAATGCTACGTATGCTACCTTGAGTTCCTGGAAGAAAGGCAGGTTATAAATCTAACAAATGCATACATTTAAAAAATATATTGCAGAGCTGGAAAAGTTGGAAAAAAAGCAGCTCCCACGTGATGAAAAAAGCAGTTCCCATATGAAAAAGCAGCTGGGGCTTTTTACTGTAATTTGGACAAAGATGGGCATAGGGAGTTAAGACATTAGTATATTAAATTATTAAATCATGTATGATATAGAAAATGTAAAATTTTTTCTCCCTCTTTTACCAAGTTATAACTTAGACTCAACCATTAAAACTAAATGCACTAACAAATAGTTAAAATGAATTTCATTGCTACCACCAGATGACCAGCAATTTAGATAGTTATAAAAGGGGAGGGTGGCAATACGAACTGCCATGATAGGAACTGTTCTTCTCAGCATTAGAAATATTAAGGTTAAAGGGTTGGGGTTTTTTGTTTTTGTTTGCCATTCTTAGCAATCTGACAGATGCAGGACTAAAGTCATGAAGGCATTTAGAAAAAAATTCTAGCCTGTAAGCTGGCATATCTGCTTTTTGAAACAAGGCATATAAGTGACAGAGTAGGTAGGCTGTTACGAAGGAGGTTGCTTTCAGGATCAATAGATGCTGTTGGTGACCCAACCTATTGGAGAAGCTAAAGACCAAGAAAACTGATGGCTGTAGGGCAGGAAGAAGTTCAGGAGAAAGGTGTGAGAGCCACACAGTTGCCGAAAAAAGCAGGTACCGGCTGGAAAAGGGACCCAAGCAACACTGAGGAAGGAAACTAATAGCAAGACAGCCACAGACTGAGAGCCACAGTGGAGTGAAAAGGGTAGTTCAACAGCTGGCTTTTTATGAGAATGGGTGAAAAACTGAGTTTTCTTCTCTTTTGACCTCTCTTCTGAGTAGTTATTATTCTCCCAGGAAACTGAAAGTAAGGCTAGCCTAAGAGAGTTAGCATAACAAAGTCTGCAATTAGGTTGGCAACTAAAGGATTTTAAAAGGGGGCCACTAATTACATGTGTGCATGTGATATTTGTTAAATTAGGTTTATAATTAAGAACTCACATGAAGTATTCCTAAAACAGAAAAGGACACTGCATCTTAATGCAAACAGCAAATTTATTTATTATTTTAGTCAACTATTTTATACAGTAATAGCATTCATTTAACTGCAATCTTAGCTCCATTTGTATCAAGAATGGTTACTGTCCTACCTCAACCTCTTATATGGAATAGATCGATTTATGGAAGATGAGCTATTAATGGGTACTAATCGTCATGACTATTTAGTACCTTTGGAATTACAGGCAATATGTTTAAAATACCTGTTACTTATCTATTAAGCAGATGTTTGAGCTCCTAAATACATCTGGTTGGTCACTGTACGATACAGAATGCAAAACTACAAGCGTTCTAATAGTGTTTTTACACAGCTCAATCCCAACTGTGTTATGATGTTTGACAACAGAGCCAAAAAGCAGTTAGCCGGCCTGTCCATTTTCAACTTTTTCCCCTTGTCCACAAACACAGTAGAAATAAAAGTCTTAATTTCTTGGTAAGCATGGGTTAAAAAACTGGTTTAGACACAGATGTATAATAAGGAACATGGGCCAAAAGAATATCACAACTCTTTTCAAATATTCCTGCTAAGCAGAAAGAGAACTAGCTGCTATATAATTATAAGAACTCCTCCCAAACCTCTATGGTCAGCCAAGTGCTTACCACCACCACCACCGCCCCAGTCTCCCACCCTGCAGTACTTTCCACAATGCCTACATTACCTGTTTAATATAAATGCCATTTCGAGGAAAGAGATCCACCAACTCAGGATGATGTCTACTCTGCTGACCACCATGCCCTAAAGTAAAATTGATGTTGTTTCCCCATGTATAGACATCTGTGGGATCTAAAGTAAAATGGTAAGTTCTAACTATATCATTTGACATGTGGATGAAATGCATTTACTTTATTTCTGCTTATGATTGCTTTTCATGTATTCCCAAAATAACATTTAGGAATATTAATCTGTATTATTGTATTACAATGTATTACTATAACAAAATTATACACCCAATAATTTGCAGAATCAAAATTAAGGTAATACCATCTTAAAAGACATACCCAGAATACAAGCAGACACATAATTCTATCAATGCTGAATCAGACATTATTCATGATAGCAAGTGTTGTATTTTCAATGTTTATATTATATACAAATACATTTTACCTTACAAATATACTGTATTTTTCCGACTATAAGACAATACTTTTTTCTAAAATCCTTACGCTAAAAATTGAAGGGCATCTTATTCAAGGAAGTAAGCTGAGGAGAGAACCACGCGGTTGCAAAACTC